ACGACCGAGTCGATCATCAATTATCTTTTTTTCATTGAAATACTGAACAAGCCATGTTAAATTTTCGATTCGATCAATGCGAATAATTGTCGATGAGCCAACTTCACCAATTCGAAAATCTTCAGCCATTCTTTGAAATTCTTCAGACTGCTGTGGAACTTGTGTTAAGTTGCTCGCTGGCATAGACCAATTTTCAATAGAAACAGCACTCATCGGTAGACCAGTCGTATCCGGTAATTCTAGCTGGGAATTCATCTTCTCACATATTTCCAAGAGTCGAGAGAATGCTTCACTGTCTGATACAGTTCCATCAATGATAGTATCAATATTGATTTGGCCTTCATTAAACGAAAGACAGACGAGTAGTGGATAGAAATTGATTGATAATGAATTGATTATTGTTGTCACTCCTTCGCCTAAATGTTTTGACACATTTGCTAAGAGTCTACAAAAGAAACATAAATGTTTTACTCTCAATCTTGTTCACTACTATTATTTTTATTTACTGAGCGTAATTCACGTCACTAGTTCGATTCCATGGCCAAACAACAAAGTGTTCAAGAAGATAGTTGATAGTAGCTTCTGAACACAAAGCACCTTCGTAAACTATAGACATAGCTGAACTTTCATCATGCTGTAGGTAGAGAGCTAATAATCGAGACTATAGAAAAATAATACGTGCACATTTTGCAGGTTACACTCATAATAAAAGAAAAAACTTACAGTCTGAGATGCAAACAATGAATTCTGGAGAGCCTGTTCCAACGAACCGTTATAAAATGGTGATACTGGTGCTGAATAGCGACTAATACCATCACGTTCTAGCTGAATAAGCTCTCTGGGTAGACTGTCAGGTGTTGTGTTGTCATCAATTGGTTTGATAAAATTTTCGAATCTCTGAATTGCTGTCATTGTTGATTCTCCCGAGTTGGTTTGAGTCAATAATTACACGACGTGTCTTACTTTATATAAACGGGACAGAACGATAAAAAAATATTTGACAAAGATAAAAGTGACTCACACAAGAAACACTTACATAAAAACAAATGACGCCAATGAAATTTCCCCAAGTTTGGTAAAGTTTTAACGCCATGTTGTAAATGATAAGCAATTCAATTCTTTCTACAGGTCAACAAAAACTCAAAATAAATCCCCATTGAAAAATACTCAAGGAATGATCACGATTATTTCTGATTAGTAATATCTTTGATTTTATTAAATTATTTCAGAGAATTTACAACTATGTTTCCTACCACAAATGTTTTTGTAGTTCACAATGATATATATCTTGGTGCACATTATATTATCCATCAAGGTTAGTAATAGCTTTTTATTTTGAGAAAAAAAGAGGGTGTCGATGTTGGTGGGTATGGGCCTTGTCTGTCAGAACACCTATAGACACCAACAGCCACACCCACACCCACACCCTCGAGTGACAAATGACGGAACAGTTCATAGGTTTTATCATTAAAATTATGGAAAATTGGTACTGGAAAATTGATTATCAAATCGGTTATGGACGGCAAATTTGTCAACTCGTTAATTAGATCTACTTTTCCGAGGTCAAATGGATCCCATTTAGCAGGATTTTCGCTTCAATCATGATGAACATTGGGAGATGAGTCTAGAATTACTTTTTCTAACGTTTTACCTTGTAATTGAATAAATTTTTGAGCCATTTCAAATGCATCCCGATCACGTTTCAGAAGAAGGCAAATAGCAGTTAAATTTGGAACAAAATGAAATGTTAAACTACGATCTGATATTTCAATGTCTTTCGCAATATCGAATGAAAGCAGTGAAGACTTGGTAATGATTGAATTCCAACGTTGACAAACATTAGCACATGAGCTTAGCTCTGGATAGGAGAGACATTTCAAGATTTTATCTAATATTTCAGGCGGTATGTGATTTATTGACAACATTTTTCACAGTTAAGTTTGTACTTAAAAAATTTTTATCCCTTTACTGATTTACAGTACGTGAATCATTATCGGTTCTCTTTTTCATTTCTTCCAACAACTGTTTTTTTTAATCTTTCCCAATTTTCTCCGTCGACTGAAGTGTTGAGAAAGAAAACATTACTTCAACATGTGCTACTTTGAAACAAATATTTTACGAAGCAACCAGCTCTTTGATGAAAGATAAAGAAATAAATAACAGGACACAGACAAATAATATGTTATATTCTTTTTCATACAGAATTTTTTTGAATTATGAGACGACATTTATGTGCGTCTCGAAGAAGGGTATATTAGTTTTTAGCTTGTTCTCCACCTATTTCTGTGTCGAAGAGATCGACTTCCAAATGCGATGGAATCTGCTAAAAATTGTATTTTTACTACGAAATCCGATCGTCTTCTGCATGAAGGCAATATTTTAGACGCAAAGACATAATTATTAGTGGAAATAGTATATTGTACACATTTCTGATCTTGTTTGTTATCGCCTCGTCAAAAAGTTTTTTAGGTTGAGAGTGGGTTGTATGACGAGGTGATAATAAGCAAATACCATAAATTGGATTCTCGGAACTATCGTAAAGATGAATCATGAAGAGACGAAATCGTAACTAGAAAACATCGTATCCTGTGTGAATATTTAAAGAACTTTTCCCTAACAATACATTTTCCGTTCTCAAAGAAAAAGACAAACAATTTTGCACTTTCTCAGTGACTTAATCTAATGTGTATCCAAATAATATTTAAGAAGTTAAGTAAAATATACCCATGCTCACCGGTTGCTTTTGAAATTCTCAAAAACTGTTTCAGGAGCATAGAGATTTCCGAAATCCTAACTAGAAGACATTTTTTGTAAGTAGACATAGGTCTACACACGTCCACGCCATATTCGTCACAGGCAATCGCTGAATTCATTCTGGTACCCACGATACTGCCATAAATTTCTCATACCTGTCCAAAAAATTTTGCAGAAAGCTTCCAGATTTCAGGGTATTCTCCATTCTCCTCTAATCGATGAACCTTAATTTTAACGAGCACAATTAGATGAAATAATCTCTTAACTTTTCTTTACAAAGAATTTCTGCAACACACAATATAGAAACCTTTTTTGTCGATTTTTAATATTAACTAAAAAACTTTAAGTGTGATATGCCGTCAAAGATACCTGTCATCCTACACAGAGAAAGACTTCGAGATGCTCTGACCATATACATAGTATTTTGAAAAAGCTGCACAAAGATCTTTGAATCGCAGAAAGTAGATAATTGAATCTGTAAATTTATCTTCGGTCAAAAATTCATTTCTTTGACAATATGCTTTTTGTTAATCGTAATAAATAAAACAACATTATCCTCGCCTAATCTAGATTAAGATACATCTTTTACATACATATCTAGTATCATGATGCGTAACAGTCGTTTATCTTCTCAATGGTGATACCTAACAACTGACACAATAGTTTTCTACTCCATATACTCTATGACCTCACAGTGAGTTGATTACAACCAAGAAATAAATCTTATTTCAAATAAAAGCAATCTCGTTCAACAGATGCTTGACATAAGGAGACAACAATTTTTATTAAAATAATAAAAGAAATACATGCTAAATACTTCAGCATTATTCATATGTTGTTAAAAATAAAAACTATGCTTTTATATTGAGTTTCAAGTATATTCATATTCAGAACTCCATGACAGGTATTTTAATATATACTTTATTACTGCTCGTTGATGTTCAGTACAAGTAAATGAATGAACATATTATCAACTGATTATCAAAATTGTTTTCTCTGCGAATGTAATCCTATTTTCATTCTCGCTAATCAAATAACTCTTTTAATAATTGCTCGCAATTGTCAAAAGAGATGAAATATAATCACTCTTTCTAAAATATGTGGAATCGATCTTTGCAAATTATTATTTTCTAGCAACTAAAACAACCAATCTATCGACTAAAATCGACATTTTAGTATCTATCTGAATTACAGATAATAAATCCCCGTAACACAAGCATGGAACATATGTATCTTATACAAGATGTGAAAACATGTGATTCGTATAAGCAGAATACTTTATCCTACCTGATTTGCTTTGCAAGTAGTAGGCATACGAAGATCTCAGATTTATATCGTGTCACAATCGACGAAGTCGATTATGGCTGCTTAGCCCTAACTCATTCCATATGTATTTTTAAAAAAATTTTAAACCGTAATGATTAGTAGATAATTGCAGTAATACTTTTGGATATTTTTCTCCAAGAAATATTTCTTTTTTTTAAATAGTCGAAATTACTCAAAAGACATAGAAATAATATGGAAATTTATTCATTAAATTGCTTCAGTTCAAATACAACTGTGCTTGCGAACAAAACTTCAAAGAATGTTATGTTCGCAAATACAATGGTTGTTCCTTTTCTTGATGAATCAATTGACTAATATTTATTTCACACATTCCTAACATTTTTGATGGATTACCTTTGATAATTCCAAGTCTATCTTGTTGTTGAATCCATATAGTCAAATAATCCATGTTTAAATTAGAAATATTAAAATTAAATGGACTATTACCCAATGTTCAACAGGAATTTTGATTTGTTGGATTTCAATCAGCTTATGTTGTTTGAGGGTGTGGGTGTGGGTGTGTGTGGGTGTGGGTGTGGGTGTGGGTGTGGGTGTGTGTGGGTGTGGGTGTGGGTGTGGGTGTGGGTGTGGAGTGTTGGTCTTTCCCTTCAGATGAAGATAGCCATACCCACATCCACACCCACGTCCACACCCACACACCCAACTTTTGCAAGAGATATGGTATCACTGTTGTCTTTATTCTGTTGTGTAAATTTCAGAGATAAGTTGTTGTTTTCGTAAATCAAAATTTCAACAACAGAGAAAATCCGTTAATATCAAGTTGTATGTTAAGTTATCGACTTTTTATAAATCATCATGATTTGTCGAATGTTGTTTTTGAGGTTGTATGTTATAATGATCATGAAAATCTGGAGAGTCAGAATCTGGATTGACTGCATAACGTTTTGAATATAAACTGTATTGAGGTTGTGAGTGTGGGTGTAGGTGTAGGTGTGGGTGTGGGTGTGGGTGTAGCTTAGGAAAAGAATAACAGCCACAGCCACAGTCACAGCCACACCCAAACCCATAGCCACAGTCACACCTACACCCACACCCACACCCACACCCTCAAGAATACTTTAGCATTGCTAGACTTTGAATGATAATTTAAGTTGATTTATATCTTAATCGAAATTGTAAATGTCGATAAATATTCCCGAAAAATTCCATCACATAATATTGATTGTATATGGAACTATTCATTTTCTTAATAAACATATCAATCAATAATATAGATAAATATGTTCTTCACCTTTAGTGAAGACGAAATGTATATATCAGAAAAATTATTCAAATGAATATTCTTTGTATTCTCTAGTGTGGGTGTTGGTGTGGGTGTGGGGCGTAGGTGTGGATAGGAATGAAGAAAAATACCCATACTCACACACCCACACCCACATACCATCACCCACAACCCACACCTACACCCTTTTTGTAGCAGGTTTTTGTGTTTCCAGTGACCGAATTAGATGTTGGAGAATGTGCATGAAGCACGCATATCAAATTCAGTTATCTTATTTGTTATAGAAATGATAAAAGGAATAAAATAAATATGAAAGTATAACCCTCACATTTATTCACTCTTCATTAAAGTGTTCATTCACATCAATGGGAAACTAGTTTTTTGTGTAGCAAAATGTAAGAATTTAATGTAAAATATCTCTCGTTCTTGTAGCAAAGTAATAGGAGAAAAAATTAGATAATTACAATTCAAATATACACCTAAAATGCTCTAGTAGTAGTGTTGTCTGAGAAAATTCGTCTGTTTTGCTTTGAAGAAATGTGCCATAGACAGCAAGAAACAGTCTAGTTTGTCTGACTGATTCAAGCGACGAGCTCGACGGCTATTGTTTATTTCAATCATAAATAGTGACATTCATCGAATGAATACACACAAAATGTCGGACTATCTAAGTGTTTTGCCTACTGATTTGGTCGAATGGTAGATGTGAATGTACAGGTGCGATGTAAATTGCGGTGTAGTTCTTCTCTTCACATTTTCAATCGCTCACACGCACACCTACATCCACATTCATCACACTTCTGTTTCCAAGTTCCTATCATTTTCCAGAATTTACTGGTCGAAACCATTAATCTGCGAAAGAAAGTGCAATCTCATATGAGACTTCAAGATAGAAATGAAGGTGAGACTACATTCTCAATGTTACTATCACTCCTTCATCATCATCATCATCATGTCCCATAGGCTTAGCGCCCGTTGGGGCCAACCATTTTTACGGGATCAGATTTTTCCACGCCTGTCGGTCTTGTGCGAGGTGGAACA